AAGTTTTTTTATGAAATGAATTGAATGAATTTTTTATGAGATGAATTATTAGCTTCACTAAGAAACGAAAAACTTCGCACTCCTTCGGCAGAAAAACCCGATAACCCAATAAACCGAATGTAATACAAAATGCTTTTGCGACTTGCTTTTGCATCGGTTCTTGTTCGGTTCTCGCTCGAAAGGAGAAAGCCTGTCTTTCATCTAAAATGACACCCCCCTCACACTTCTCTTTTGTGAAGAAAGGCTCTCGGCGTTAGACCTACCACTAGCAAAGCAAACCAGAAACCGCGAATATTGATAGAAGCATGAACGATAAAAGCAAATGATCTATTTTCTCTCCTGCTTTTCCTTTCTAAAATAATTCTAATTCTTTCCATATTTTTCTAAAAACAATTCGATAAGTTGTAGTTCATTGTCAGAATACGTGCCGTAGCCATCACGGCTAAAGAAATAAGCTCTTCCCTGACCTTTCATTCTCTACCTTCCTCAATTTAATTAGGTCAGAGCAGTAGTAGCAAATTATATATATTTTTTCATCCCTTTCTGATCTTTTATTTGAAATGAATTACATTCTGCCAACATTCTCCTTTACCACTTCCTTCTCAATAAAAACACAGCATCTACCGTAATTCATTTAAACCAATTCAATTTTGCTTTGCCATGTCCATATTTTTTATAATTAGAAGCTTGTGATTTCCTCGCGCTTTTCCTTTATATTCTTTCTTTTTGTCTGTTCAGAACTGAAGAAAAAATAAATAGCGGATTATAAATCTGAAAAAATCCAAATTTGTACCTACAGTGGATTAATTAACTGGAACCGTCATGAATATTGAACAGTTATCCATAAAATGATCCATTTAAGTTTGATCTATTTAAGTCGTAAATTAAAAAGTAATCCTATATTTAAAAAAATTTAAATACTGAAAGAAATTCGCAGCAATAACTTGCACGAAAAGAAAAAAATAGCAAAAAGAAATAAATGAGGTCACAGAACAATTTGGTCAAACAAATTTGACAAGGACATAAAAAGATAGGAGTTATTTGCAACTGAGCAAAACATGTCCATCATAACTAATGCAACATACATACCTCAATTCTGCAACAAAAACATATCTAAAACTGCAGAATATTAGAAATCAATTTTTGAAATCTTACTGCCTTCAAAATGCAGATCATTTCACCCAAATGCAGACTATTAATCGTAACTGCATTAAGCCACGATGGAATTCAGATCATATCGCAAAACAATAAATAATTTACAACCAAAGAGTAACTGAAAAAGTATTTAAAATTTTATCACAGATATATTTCGCTGAGGCTAAGCGAAGGCTAAAAAATATACTTTTATATTCCCTAAATTTAAAAACCTACGCTCCATTTAATACACCTTTCTCTCCATGCATAGTAGTACCTTCTCGCCAACCCACATATTCGGGACATTTTCTAAAATCCGCTCAACTTCAGGATCACTGCTTTCCATCTCTTCAAGGTTTTCCACAATTCTAAGGTCAACGAGACTCATAAAACCTCTAGACCATTGAGCGAGATATGACGTTGAAAAATCATCCTTTTAACAGCAGCTTTTTTTGCACTCTTTCTAGCTAATTTTGCGATTATATTTTTACTATTATTTTTCTTTAGAATAGTTTACCGTGCTTTTTTTAAATTTTTTCAATAAATAGGTATAAAATAAAGTCCAGCAAAAAAACGGAATTATAAGAAGGCCTGGAAAAGAATCCACCTGAAAAAAAACATTAAAAAAGAGTTAATAAGCACTAGTGATAATACTTTTTCTAGAGCGCCCACTCCGCTGGTCAGATCAGACGAATTTTGTTAGGGATCGGGATAGACACAAATGTAAGCTAGCATTAGTATACTAGTATTTTTGAAAGATACGTTACTACTGAAAGCCGGTAGTAGAATAGTGCCCCGGTATTGGCAAAATGAGAGCAATAATCTGAACCATTCTAGTAAAGACGTATAAAAGCACGGTCACGCATCTTTAAAATTAAATATTCTTCTTGAAATCAGCCTAAACTTAATCAAAGTGCATTAGCGATGAGATATTTTTACAAATTATATTTATTAACAACCTGGGAATAAATTTTATAGCGATATTAAAAAATTTGTGAGATAAAATTATAAATTTCTAGATTAATCACAATGAAAAAAAAGTGTTTAACCTTAAAACTAAAAAAAATTGTCGCGATTCCTGCGATATTTAATGCCAATACATTAAAAAGTAGCTGAAAGATATATTTTAAAACAATTATAAAAACAATTATAAAACAAGTCGACAAAATTCTCTAGTTTCGGGTTTTCCATATTTACAATTGGGCATTAATCTTTTGAAATGGTGAGTTAAGCAAAATCCAGAAGAATATAATTTCGAAATTGCGGTCATCTGAATGTGCCTCAATAGAATTTAAAAAATTTTATAAAATGAATATCCCGCATTCTTAAAAAATAAAATATCGATAAGGCAAGTAATGCATCAAGAACAAAAAGAGCCAATTTTTTAAAGAAACCAGAGCCTGAAAAAGTGAAATGAAAATTAAATATATAAATGAAAATTTAATTACATTTAATAACGTAAATTTTGTGGCTCAACAAACCCAAAGAAAAATATTAACCATTACGCTGAAGCAATTCAGAAAACAAAATTTTACGTAAAATCTTTTTTCTTAAGATCAGTCACTAATAACACACTTATAAAATAAATTAGTTAAAGCTAAAAAATTTTTTTAATCAACTTCTAAATGTCGATCTGTACCAACCTTATTGGATTGGATTTTATACAATACCTTATTGAAAAAAAATTTTAATATTACTCATTTTTTAAGTACACAAGTTGTTTTACAATGAAGTCATAATAGGTTCCCTTAGCAAGAACAAAATTTTAAAATATTTGATATTTGATATTGTGCTTCGAAGCCTGCATTTCTATCCCTAATTTTTTGGCGAAGTTCCATCTTAATAGCTACTGGGATATACGAAATCAGAAATGGTTAATACTTCTAAAAGAAAGTGAATAAAATTAGTTGGACTAAAAATAATCTAATAATATTAAATAATTTAAAAATAATAAACCAAAAGGCATACTACATTTTCTTATAAGTAAAAACGCGAGACCGACTGAGACCATTGTCAAATAGTCTATGGCATACATTAAATTTTTAGTTGTTCCTGACATTGAACGATAATCAATTCGCTGAAAATTCAGTTTCCAGAATCCTTGCCTTATTAAACATTTCTATACTTATGAATTTTCTTAAATATCATCCTCTCGATGATGAATAATTATTAATTTAAGTGAATTTAAGTGAAGTGAATCTCGATTTGATTTGACAACATTGCAACCAAAATGTAGTTCTCATTAAGTTAAATAAAAGAAAAAATAAAAAACGGGATGAGTAAAATTAATACTCTGTACAATTTCTTCTGGGAAAAAATACTCACAAAAATAAGAAAAATACTTCAGAATTTTATTTCAAAAAAATGAAAAAAGGTTCCTACCAAAACGAACTCCGAGAACATTTATAAGTCATTAAAGCTTCAATTTTCAACTCATTGAAGCTTCAACATCCAACGAATAACAAATACCACCCATTTTTTCTTAAAAGCACTCACCATCACTGGATAAATGCGCTCTTCTGGCTTGTCGCACTAGATAAATATGCCAGAGAGCCTCTTAACAATAAAATGCAGGTGAGTCGCCAGCATCACCCGGATTTTTGGATAGGTTTTGCGGGAAGTAGAATTTCAGAATCGGTGGGTGGTTATTATTTTGCCACTGATAAATTGAAGCACCTTATCGTTCACACACTTAATACGATATAAAAAAGGAAAAAATCCATACCATCAACCAATACTTAAATGAATCATCACAAAGCAAAGTTCGTTTACCTATTGTTTGTATTGAAAAGAAGCAACATTGACATAAAAGCAGCACCATAATCCCAATAGGAGGTAAATAGGCGAGAATATTGTGGTCGATCTTGGCTGGCTAAAGATCGAAGCAGCTTAAATGCATATAAATAATCGCAGCATTTTCATCATTTTAAAAACATACGATCCACTTGGTTGACCAGTAATGAGTGATTTAAATTTGTCGTCCCAATTCTAAAAAAAAAAATCACTTTTTTTCGCTTTAAATTTGAAAATACTTGAAAATACTAGAAAAAGAATAAACAAAAAAACCCCTCACACCGGTACTCCACTACTAGACGCCATTGCATTTAACTTGCCGATACCAAATCACCTTAAAACCAATCAAATCTTTACATATTTCGAATACATTTCTGGGATCACCTTCTGCTGCACCACTAAAACCTGAATGAAGAACGAAACCATTTCTCTCGTACTGCGGCTATTATTTTATAAACTATCGCGATAGTTTAATACCCACAATACTTACCGCATCTATCCACAGCTAGAAATTCTCTAAATCAGAGCAAAAAACAGCTATGCATAAAAAACGCGAATAAACTACTAAGTGTCCAGAAAAAAATTTATTACATTACTGTTAGATACAAGAATCTTCCAGGAAATGCTCTAAAAACGCCAAAAGGCTCTAAACTTATGGCCCTTACTTATTAACGCTATTATCGAAAAAAAAACAACAAATGGAGCATCTCATTCGCTTTCTTCTTCATAGAATAAAAATATTCAGGGCAAATATTTAAGAAAATTTTTTTACCCTGCAAATATTATATATTGCATTATCTCTCGCAATCAGTTGTCAAATCAATCTTTCAAAAAAGAAATTTAAAAAGCTTAAAATTTAAAAAAATTTAAATGAGGTAAGAACAACTGCAAGAAAAAAATTTTTTTGTTGCTACAGCAATTTACAATAAGCAGCATTTAAATAAAATTGATACAATCAAAGATAGCTCTTAACGAGGCTGAAATTAACTCTAACAAAACTGTATATTATAATAATCTATTTGCATTTTTAAAAAATAAAAAATTCTGAATTCAATACTGCGCAAATTATCGGATCAATTCTTCTTCGGTTCCTCGCTTTTCATGAAATATAACAGAACTGTGTAAAAGCTAATCCACAGTGAATATGGTAATATGAGCGATCCGGCTGTTTTATGAACCTTAAAAATGCTTGAAAAATTATTAAAATATTTCGCAAACATCAGTAAAGATACATTTTAAAGATTCATTTAAAGACTTAATAAAGACTTATTTAAACTCATAAAAGTTCATTCTCCAAATTCATAAAGAAAATTTTGAAAACTTAACCTTGAAAAACATATAGGTTGTTGCTATTGCAGTTATATTTAGGAAAATATTATTGTAAAACAGCTGAAAAAAGATAAGATTAAAAAAATCAATGAATCAATTTTATTTCTAATTTGATAGTTAAATAAATTTAAATTTAATTTGTAAAAACCACATCGAAATTGATTTGAAACGCAAGAGATTTTTCCCAAGATTAAATCATGTTTTCAAACTGAAACCAAAAACGCAATTTTTGCGTTACGCCACTTTCGCCAGTTTTAAAACATGAAAAACGAAAAAAAACATGGAATAATTTAAATTCATCCTTTTTTCATGAAATTCTTTCATACAAAAACAAATTATACTTCAGTACAAAAAGATTACTCCTTTGAGATTTCGTAGTTTAGTAAGTGGCATTGCAGCAGCAGCAAAGATTAAATTCGCACCATAAAGACCAAGCGCCAATTTCGTATCAGAGTAATCAAAACCTGAAAGAATTCGTTGATAATTATTGCGCGATTTGAGTTTTTGAATTTAATTCCATATTTCTTAAGAGATGTTATAATTGTAAAATATTTCTACAATTAAAAGCCACAAAATCCTAAAGCATTTGAAAATAAAATAATTATTTTATTCCAGTAAACTAAAAAAAACTTTGGAAAAAAATAAATATAAATAATGCTTTCAAATTAAAACATATATCAAGTGAAATATATATATATATATATATATATACATACATATATAAGTGAAATATATATACATAGGAAACTTTAAACGATTTTAAGCATCTTATTTGCGCCTTGCTTATTTTAGATTATTTGCGCCTTGAAAATTTTATGCATGAAAACCATAACAATTAAAAATTACCAAATAAAGTTTGCAGAATATAACGCAAAAAAAAGGAAAAATACCTCCACCATGCTTGTAAACTAAATAAGAAGCTGGTCCAAGCGTACTTAGCGTAAGCAGATCAACTGCTGAATATAGGTGAGCATCCTTCGGCGCCCATTTCGGTTTTTTTGCATTCTAAATTCATTAAAAAAAAATGAGATAAAAAATATATAAAATAAAGGCTGCAGGAATGATCGAATGAAACAAAAGAAATTAACAAAATTTTACAAATTTTCGAAGGCAATTTAAAATTGAACCAAAATATTCAAACGAATTTTACAAAAAAATATATAGAGCAGCATATATGGTGGAAAACACGTAAATAACTTTCTTTATATTTTAGTTATACATCAAACAAGTTGCATGCCTTCAAATGAGTGCCAGCACCGGATCGATCCTCTCTTCCAGAGAGCAAGGTATTGAAAATACATAAGGTAAAATAAAAGATAATATTTAAATAACATAAAAGTAAATAAACCTAACCTCCCACCACGAAAGAAGATTTTTATCAGTGGAGAGGGCGCAAAGACCGGAAGCAGCGATTGCGCCTGGAAGTAAACTTGCCAATGCTGCTTTTTTGGTGTCCACAAAAGTCCAGACCATTTGCTGAAACCAACTAGTATTTCTATAGCCAATGAATTAAAACTTCTTTTTATTATTCAACGATAAGGAAAATTCAAGGTTTAACCGAATGAGGTCAAAAATTCAAGAGAAATTAAAATAAGACAATTCATCCTTTTTTTTCAAAGGTCAACTTCAGGTCAAGTTGGATTCACAAACAATCCATCTATGGTTGAAGAGAACTCAGCTAAGCAAATTAGAACAGTTCCGCAACAAATTCTCAGCACCAAGGTAAACTGGACTGGCAAAAGTACCACCCAGGTCACCAATCAAAAACCGCATGTTCGTACATAATCAATCACCCGCAACGCATCAATTCGCTCGATAATTATCGACTCTTGCAGCTTTATATTTTTTAAAAAAAGTTAAAATAAGAATTATCTCACGGTTTAAGTAAATTTGATGAACAATTAATTTTATGTTTTCATTAAATTTAAGCATTTTTTAAAAGTAAATAAATCTAAACATTACAATAAATTTTTCTGAATTTCCGATGATTGCTGAATCTGACTCATTCAGGTGTGCTTAAATAAGAAAGTGGATGGATGATAGGTTAGTCAGCCACTTGGAGCTGGCTTTAATCCTAGGTAACGAATACCTGCGCCGGAGGTCCGAAAAAGGTGCCATACCCTCGTCCTAGTGAGGAGACGAGCAACTGGCAAGTGGGCAAATGACCGACCTCGGCGCTCCGTTAAATACGAAACCAAGCGTGCATTCGACACTATGCAATATTTTGCTCGACTCTACGCAATAAACATTGAAAAAATCAAATTTTCGGATCTGCGAAATAGTAATGCGGTTTTTTGAATTTTTAATTGGCTTTAATAGCGTCAATGGTTGTGTAGGAATGGTTTTAATTTCAAATGACTTTATTATATTGTTGATATTATATTGTGTTTGTTTGTTGTTATTTATTACTTACTTCATAGAAGTTCCATTGGCTATGAACCAAAACGGGAATTTTCGCGAGGGAGTAGCTCGGTGACACGTTGGTCGCCGGTACCGCCACATTTGTTAATCGTGCTACCTGAGGTGCGACTCGGATCCTAACGGGCGACTATGCTAATGTGGTCAACTATTAGATCATTTTCCCTCCTCCCTCCATGAGTTATTTAAATATTATTATTCCTTTTAAGCGATAGTTGTTTCCATATTATTCTGTAGTTTATGAGACACCTTTTAATTTTCACTCTTTAAAAGTCTGCTTTACAAAATAAATAAATATTTAAGAAATAAAGTAGTAAGCTAAAATGGAACTTTAGCATTCATTAATTAGCTGTTCCATAACTCTTATTTGTTGTTGCAGATAACAAATGGGATAGTTGAACCATTTGCGCATTTCTATCCATACGTGGTTCTCTGTCAGAAGGTTTCATCGCAGTGGCCAGAGGAAATGCCCACTGAACTATAAATGGTCGATGCATTTAGAATTAATTTTGAAAGAACGGTTTAAGAGAGATACGGGGGTGATAGAAGGACGAGGAAAGGGGAAATATATCTACTCTACAACACCCTTAAGCTGTGGCTTACTTGGCCTGCATGCCGCTTGAGTTCTGGTTGAAATTTTCGGAGATAAAGGACTTTTATTATATTCTTCAAGAAAATTAAATAAAAAAATATTTAAATTCATAATAAATAAATATTTTAGATTATGGCAGTTGCAAGAAAAAATTTGACCAAACTACTTGGATTTTACCCGACATTGACTCTACGTAAATTGCCAAGGAACTATTCTTTTAGTCCATGGTATTACTTTCTTATAGCAAATTTTTTAATATGCATCGCATTCTGATTTGAAAACAGTTAAATCAGAATTGATCAGAATTGTGCTAGAAGAAAAAGATAAGACAGCAACGCAGCAGTAGAGCTGTTGGCAGAGTTTAATTAATCATATGGTAGGATAAGGATAGGTTTTTGCTAATGAAAAACGAAATTATTATCACGTATCATCATATCATTTGTTGGATGGTAAGATGATGAGTGGTATGTTTCTTCTGCTAGCAGTTTTAGCATAGGTATGGTCTTTTTCCTTGAAATGGTTTGCCACTAAGAGAAAAATCTATGTATGACAGGGTTCGTAATCTGACTGGAGGCAAAAGGGTTTTATCCTAATAACTATTGCAAATCAACATACAAAAAATGGTGAATTTTGTGAGAGAAAGAGAATTAAAATAAATACGTCGTTTCTAAGCCAATTCCCATTTTAAAATTTTTATTATCCAATGCTGCTATTTGCTGCCATTTTCTGCCGTTTAAAATCCTTAAAGGATTGCTCTTTAGTTTATCGTTATCGTTAGATTAAATTATAAAGTCAGGTTAGCGATAGCAGATCCATCCAAATTTATACAATATCGGAGCGCACATGCAACGAATACAATCATAAATTTTGTTCCTCAACAAGAAGCATGGGTTGTTGAACGAATGGGTCGATTTCACAAAATATTGGAACCGGTCACTGTTTTTATTTTTTACAATTTAATTCTTTATTTTAATCATTTTACTTTGAATTATTTATCAAAAGGCAAATGATTTCATAATAATTTTTTATCATTTTTTTTTGTTTACACCAGCTTTTCAGTTTAAGGGATAAAATAGCTGGGTGGGTTGTTGCTGAATTTGAAGCGTCGATGCTGAGATTTTTTTGCTCGCAGAACTTAACATCAAAAGCAGCCTGAAAATTCAAAAAACCTAACCTTGTCCAAAAATCCGGGTGATATCGACGACTCACTTGTACTTCTATCACCAAATGACTCCTTGGTATATTTGTCTAGTGCGGCAGTGTAGCGAGTTTAACTAATAATAATGAGGACTGTTAAAAAAAAAGTTATGCTATTTACACAATAAACTTTCAGGGTTTTAATATTTTAATTCCACTCTTGGATCGCATCAAATACGTGCAAAGCCTAAAAGAAATAGCCATAGAAATTCCACATCAAAGTGCCATTACAATTGATAATGTTCAGCTACAACTTGATGGAGTATTGTATCTAAGAGTGGTCGATCCATATAAGGTACTCTTTTCAAGAGTAATTACAAATCCCTCATTCCTTTTTTAATTATGATATGAGTAGAAAGATCGATTCATTATCATAATCGTAATTCATAATCGATTCACTATTATAGATTTCTCTAAGTTCATTTCTATTCTACTAGTGGATTATTATGCAGTAGATGATAAAAAAAATATAGGCACTTTTCTTTTATTTGGTCCACAACAAGATCGAGCATTGCTACTTTTTATCCTTTTTGTTTTTTTGCTTTCTTTTTTCTTTTATTTTTATTCTTTCCCATTGAAGTTCTGCTTCTTCATTAATAATGATTAATAGAATCGAAATGTTAGATGATTGGTTCGACTGCGGTGAGGCTATCGTAGGTTCGATTCCTATCTTTTTATGAGAAAACATTACAAAAAACCTCATTAAAAGTGGCATCCGAATGGTGCCGGGGACTCACATTTCTCTGCAAATATAATAAATAAAGTCAAAATAGAAGCCAAAACAGAAAATATCCATACTAATATATAATGTCTTATCTGCACTATTCCGCCTGTAACTTTTATCATCCTGTTATCGTCATAATATCCCTCGATCTAATTTGCAGTAGTTTGCATCTTGATTCATCCTTTGGACAGAATTAGCGCTTCATTAAATAATGAAATATATGCGAAAGTAAGTATATAACAGTAACAGTTAATATCAAAATTTGATGTTAATATGGTGCAGTAGAGATTGGATGGATAATGATCTCACTTATCATAATATTTGACGATTTAATGGGTTAAGGGTGTGTAACAGGCTTTAAAGGTGATTAAAGAAGGGCGATAAAATTTTAATGCTAGAGAATTTTCTAGCTTGTACATTAAGAACAATTGAGTTCTTTTTTTTTCTGTAGAATACTGTGTTTGAATGGGTGTTTACAACGAGTGCAGAGGAGGTGTGAGGAAAATATGAATATATTGTTGGAAAAAGTTAAGGTGCTGAGATTATCAGGAAATATTGCGCAGTTTTCATATTTTCAAAGGATAAAATATTTTAAGGTAATAAAGTTTGGAGTATAACGGGTATCAAGAATCTTAAAATGGTAAGTAATGGAATAAGCGGACAAAACACGGTTTCACGAGAAATAAGTAACAGGATTTGATAGTGACCATGTTCTTTAAAGCAATGAGAAATGGTAATATAAAATTATAAAAATATAAAAGTTATAAAAAAACCAAGCAGTTTGGGTTCGATTCCACTTCTATATTCTGTCCATAAATACAAATTTTGATTTTTTTCGCATTGTTTCGTTCAATTACATCAATAATTGAGCTTATAAGGATTTTATCTGATTTTTTAATTTTTTAATTTTCGTTTTTTATCTTCAATATAATTTATTATTGAAGGCATCGTATGGCGTTGACGATCCAGAATTCGCGATAACACAACTCGCTCAAACAACAATGCGTTCTGAAGTAGGCAAAATTAATTTAGATACAATATTTAAGGAACGCGAACAACTGAATATTTGTATAGTTGGTTGGTTGGCTTAATTCCTAATGATATTTAAAATATTGGATCTCTACATTTTTCTTCATTTTTAGCAAATTTTGATGGAAATTTTTTATTCGATGCTTCATTTTTTGGAAATTTTAGATGCTATAAATAAAGCAGCTGAACCATGGGGTCTTCAGTGTATGCGTTATGAAATTAGTAAGTTTTCATACTGTTGGTAACTAATCTCATTTTATTCTCATCCAATTCTGCAATTGTTTTTGAAAGTTTTCATAAGAGTTGTGGTTTATTTTGAAAAGTTATTGGATTGCAGGAGATATGACAATGCCTGCGAAAATCCAGGAAGCTATGCAGGTTATTGTTAAGATAATAATTTTGTTAATGAATTCTATTAATTATTTCAAAAAATGACTAAATACAAAAAAACCTTGATTTTATAGACATATATTGTTGAATATTTACGTTTCATTCTCTTAATATTATTTAATATTTTTCTAGATGCAAGTTGAAGCTGAACGTCGTAAGCGTGCTGCGATTTTGGAATCAGAAGGGAAAAGAGAAGCCTCGATTAATGTGGCTGAAGGTGAAAAACGTGCCCGAATTTTGGCTTCTGAAGCTGCTAAACAGCAACAAATTAATGAGGCCATTGGCGAAGTAAATTAAATGATTAGTCCTTTTTTTCGAATATTTTCCGTTCTTGAATGTACTGAATATTCTTTGACTAATTTTTCTAATTTTTAAAGATTTTAAAGTAATTATAGAACTAAAATTTTAAACTAATAAAAATGTTTTTGCTAATAATTTTATGAAAAATTTTTTTGAAATAAGAAATAAGGGTTTCCATTTTTAGGCAGAAGCTATTCTAGCTCGTGCCAAAGCTCGTGCAGAAGGCATCAAAAAGGTTTCGGATGCTCTTAAAGATCAGCAAGGCAATGATGCTGCAGCACTTAACGTTGCTGAACAATATGTTAAAGCATTCAGTAATCTAGCAAAAGAAGGTAATTCTATAATTGTGCCATCAAATATATCGGATGCGAGTAGTATGGTTGCGCAAGCTTTAACTATATATAAACAGTTAATAGAAAAGAAGACGTAATTTTTTTTTGAAAATGTTTTGAAGGTATTGCTTAATGCTTTTTTCTTCCTTTGTTGTTCTTCAATTTGTTCATTTTATTACATCTTATGCAAAATAAATTTTTATTTGCAATTTTATGTTTTAATAAAGTTAAGAAAGGAAGAAAAGAAGATCCACAAACTGTGTGTTCATAGCCGTTTAAAATCCTGTCAATTAGCTTCACCATAGTGAGTTGACGAAATGGTTAATGTTCAATATTTTAAGAAAAAAAAACAGGCTACTTTTGCTGTTAGTAGGATGAGAAATTTTTGTCAAAGAATCACTGTACGATAAAAAATAATGCTAAATGGGCAGCACCACTTTAAGTTTTTTAATAAGCTTGCTGCTGGTAGGAGGTAGAATCCATAGAGATAGAAATCATAATGCTTCAAGATACTAATCTGAGCGATCGTTTATTAGTCTGTCAGCCTGACATAATGTATGGTTGTTCGAAGCTTGTTTCGTTATTATTGTAATATTAATTGCGATATCGCTTATTGCAATTTTTATTAAAATTTTAACTGGTCTTATTAAAATTAAAATTATTATTTATTATTGAAATTATTTTTCAAAATTGAATAAATAATAAATTATATATACTTGCAAATATATTATAAATTATAAAATATATAAATAATTATAAATAGTAAATAAATAATGAAGTTAAATAACTAAATTAAAGCGATCTTCAAGAAATTTGTAGAAGGGGTTTTATTAATTTTTTAATAACTTCAGGTTAGGCTATGCTGACTAAGATGAATGGTCAAATTGTTTAAATTTTTCTCCACTCATTATTTTCATTACTGAGAGATTGATAATCAGACGAATGAATGCTACTTAACGGTTTTAATATCCACTTAATGGTGAAATTGATAATTCAATAATGCGGTTTAAGAAAAAAATATTCATATTACCCCAATAAAATTTTAATATGGGGAAAGCTTCTTTTTGATAGGCCTCTTCGAAATGATATTAGTCAAGGCTGCGTCATTTCTCTTACTGTGTGATAGACTGTACAATAGATTTATAGATTTATACAAATCAGCCTAGAATATCGTATTATAGATCTGGAATACGCTGATGAATTAGTTCTTTTTGCTTATTTGCTGTTATGATGAAATGCAGATAATACAAAACAATGGGTCGACAACTGTAGCGGGAATTGGACTTAGCATCGCTGTAGACAAAACGAAAGCCTTTTCGTCTTATATACAAGTAACATAAAATACCTCTTTTTATAAATTCATTGCCGCTTGAGGAAGTGCTCGATTTAAATAGGTTCAATCTAATCCCAAACGGCAAAACGAAAGGTGAAATTATAACCTAGTCGACGGTAGTTAGAAATGTTCTTCCAGTTAGCGAAAAAAGTTCATGGAGCCATCGCAAAATCACCATTTACATTTATATAGCTGCATTCGCTCGGTCTTGTTGTATGGTTGCGAGATATGGTCAATGAGAGTGGAAGATATGAAGTTGTATGCCTTTGACCATTCATGTCTAAGACATTTTACGAGTTTACCGAATGGACAAAATTTCGCATGATTGCATTCATCGACACTGAAATACTATCTGAACTAAAAGTACTATCAAAGAGACTTCGCTGATTAGTTATTCGTCATCCACTACAGAAGTTAACATATGTTTCGTTATTTATTAACCCTGTGATTGATAGTTTCAGAAGAAAGGAGGATCAATCAAAATCTGAACTGATGCAGGAAAAATTTTGAACGTATTGACCAGTAATATATGGACAGACGATGGAAAAAGGAATGGCATCTGATATCAATGATGGCGTCAGGCCAAACAGCATCGAGATGTCTTGTCCTTTTAGCTGAGCGAGCCTAACCAGTAATGGTGCGAGCTATTAGAAGAAAAATCTTTTGGTAATCTCCTGGTATATTACCGCAAAATAGATTCAGTGACACGCTATTTTTCCCCAAACCATCTTTCTTTCGTAAGGTCCAAATTACAAATTTTCCAAAAAGCTGTTCTATCAATCGAATTGAAGGCAGCGGCAAAGTCTATAAAGCGAGTGACGGTGGGTTGTTGGCATTTGAAGCGATGTTCCAGCATTCTGCTTAGCGTAAATATCTGGTCAGCACAACTGCCAGTCCCAGTCTGAATCCAGCTTGGTTAGAACACATTCTGCTATCTCGTGTTACCATGAGTCTATTTAGATGGAGACAAGCGAAAATTTTTCCGGAGATGTCCAGCAGGCTAATTCTTCGATGTCGCAGTATGTCCTGTCACCTTTCTTAGGAATTGGAAGCAGGATTGCTCTGCTCCAGTTCTGGTATTTTTTCCTTTTGCCCTACCAGAGAATACATTTATTAAAGGTGAGTTAAGGACGATAATGGACAATATTTGAAGAGTTTCGTCTGAAGACGATCTTCTCTTGGAGTTTTATTAATCTTAAATTTATGGATTGCAGAGATTATCCTCTTCTGTTGGCGGTTCACAGTTGCAAACATAAGGCTCGACTGTTATAGCGAATGTTATATCCGGGATAACAGATGGCGCATCCTGGTTAAATTCGGCTTCAAAAAATTCTTTCCATCTTATGAAGCGACCCTTAATAGCCCTAACAGGTTCCCCATTAATATTCCGCATCATTTCACTGATCCTTTCTCGTTTTTCGAGTTGCTTTATGAAGGAGGCGGAATGATTTCCTTTTATCGCCTAATCGAGCAGCCGTCTCCATTTTCAAGAGCCATGTTGCTCCAATAGCGATTTTTGTCCCGTCGTGTTGCTGTAGTAATTCTTCGAAGCACTAATCAGGATCTGCTGATATTCTGGCTCTGGCAGCTTTTTCAGACAGTTGTTCGACACCCAACTAGCACAATTCCTGCTAGTATACTCTTATACTCTAATGTGGAAATGGCTGACTTTTGTAGGCATGTCTTTAGTTGGTACTAGTGTTTGTTCGCCGTTCCAGAGATGTCACTGACGTAGATTTCACTGAGGTGTTTCGATAATACGATTCGAAATGCACTTATTGTTCCCAGATTTTGAGATAGTTGAAAGATACGTTGTTTTTTACGACTTGTCATAGTTGTTTTTATACGAATCTTAGCTCAAACCATAACATGATCTGATCCATGGCGGTTTACTAGTTTCAGCACCCCGATAGAATGATTATCAAACAGTCAATTTGATTGGAATATTAGATTGGAATATTGATTGAAAATTTTCCGGAGAGTTCCACATGATTAGATATTTTCTGCCGAAAAAACATGTGTTAGTAACAAAGAATTTATGTTATTCGGCAAAACGAAGAAGGCATTCTCTATTGGCACACTGGAGCTCGATGCCATATTTGCCAATTATCGAATTCATCATAACGGCATCATCATGATTTACGCACGCATTCTAGTCTCCTCCAGTTATGACCATGTCACCTCTCCGTTGAGATGTCGTTAATAGTTGAAACATATAACCATATGTTTCAGTAGAGATTGTTGTTAACAGTTGAAGCTCCGCATAGAACTTATCCTTATCGCGGTCATCTGTGCATAAAGTTGGAGCACTGATATACACTGATACTGATACCAAAATGTTGTAGAACTTTCCCTTGAAACGCGCTTGGGCCATACGGTTATTTATTGTCTTCCACTCAATCAAAGCAGATCGATTCTTTTCAGGTATAACAATCGCTATACTATTTCGTATCTCCGAGTTATTCGAGACATCACATTGATATAGCCAATATCTTTACTCGCAACCAGGTTTAATAATTACTCGAGAGCCGACATGAGGAAGGACCTCCGACAACAAGACACATCTACGCGGTATTTAAAGAGAGTGTACAGTGATCGCTTGCACAAAATTCCATAAACGTTCTGACGTTCCATGTAGCTCTAGTCAGCACCTCATGGCGCGTACAAAGTATTAGCGGATAGGTTCTCGCCTCTGTTGACAGGTTTCGAGTACTTATCTCGGTTCATAAGCAAATTCTGTGCTTGTATCTTGGAATTTTATTATTATTATTTATTATTGTTATATTGTTATTATATTATTATTAATTATTATTATTACGTCCGGATCGCATATTTATCGCATGGTCAGAAGTAGTATGCGTGTCAGAAGATTTGGACGTCGCATCAAAGAAACTTGACCCTTTCACCACAGAGTAACTTGGGGATAGAGATACAGGTAAGTTTCCAGCAGCCATCCGGATTTTTGGCACCATGACAGGTTTATTCCTGTCAAAGACAAAAAAAATAGAAATAATTAAGTTTAAAAAAGAGAATTTAAAAAAAAAAAAATCAGAGGAAAATAATGAACTTATATATATGTATATATATATATATATATAGCTTAATTTATGTGACTTTGAATGTTGCATAAGAAAAATGGCAGTGCGAAACAGGAAAAAAAAATATTCGTCAATTTTCTGTGTTTCTTTTTTTAAATTCTACTTATTTAATATTCGAAATTCATAAGATTAAGATTAATCAGGCGGATTTAAAGAATAAGTAATTTTCACTGATTTGTTGCACAGATTTAATTAAACACTTAATCACAGCTTTTATCACTGGAACACAGATTTTATTTATCATTTGAAATATTTCAGACTTAAAATATGAACTTTTAAGTTTGATGCAGCTGTTGCCAATGATTTTGATCTTGATCCCTTTCCATTTTACGATTGCATGATTAAATCGAAAATCGTTAATTGTTAAAAACTCTGTCTCAACTCTAGAATTGTAGAAAAAATCAAACTTCATTTAGTACTTTGGTAATTTCAGAAGCAGTATTTTATTATATATGGTGTTATTTTTTGAATTTGAATAGTTCTCTCTTTATGGAGCGAGGGATTTATGGATTTATGGATTTTGTCTGTTTTAGGTCAATTTCTTTTGATTTGGTACCAAAAAAAATTGGGTATTCAAAAAAGAAAACCATAGATAATTAAAATAATTATCTTACAGTGATTTTGATGCATCCATCTGGTTCCATGCACCAGTGCAAGATTGTAAGTTTACTGTTCTCACCGTGCTTTTCTCGTTTTGTATTAATATTGTTAAACGATTTCTCTGTTACTATTAATTTGCTGTCGCCAATTTTGTTTTCTGAATTAATACCATTTTAACCTCCGTTACCTGCGTTACACTTCTTTCGGACTTCTCGTATCTTCAAAATTACATTACACTACTGGTTTTATCATGAGAACCTCTCAACAAATCTCGTCAAAATATATTTCCTTCATGGTTCCACTATTCATCTTCGATAGTCTGGAAGCCTATTTTATAAATGAATATTCCAAATGTTTAAACTAAAGTTTTACCACTTCATAGGAGCTTTTCTATTAGCCAAAAATAAAGTTAATTTAAACTTCAATGATGCCATGCAGCAAATCTAAACAGTAGCTGTGACGTCCATAGAGCTGGAATTTTATTTGTTATACAGTGGAATAATCCCATGAATTATATCTGCAGCGAATGTGATGGAAGAGGGAAGTTCAGAGCATATGAGGGGGATTATACCGAAGAAATATAACAGATAACGATGTAAGAAAAGGCAATACGAAGAGAATGAAAGAGGCTTCCAAAAAATAAAAACGACTAAGTTTTAAGGTCCGTTAAGGGACGTAGCGAGGTTTAAAGGTGGTATTAAGCAAGCGAAACAAGAATCAGCTTTATTACTACTGAATGGTTAAACCAAAAATGTTGTTGGAAAAAAAAGAATTAAAATAGATTGCTGAGAACAAATTGCGGAAAACGTGTCATGTAAAATAAAGTTGTGGTTAATAAAAAAATTTTTTCATCAAAAGATAAAAAATTAAGTAGAAATACTGATTGCTTCACAAATTAAAATTTTATTCCGATGTTTTACTTAATTTTTGATTTAGCATAAAGTTGGAGGATGGCCGAATGGCAAATTACTCCCAGGTTACCACTGTTGGTGCAAGCATGGCATTAAAATGCGAGAACTACTTGGTACCCAGATGCATTTCTATCCTCAGGTGATTCTGACGAAAGAGTCTCGTCAAAATAAACGCAATGGAATCAGCAAACCAAAAACGCTGATACTATTAGGAGAAGTAATGTTAAAAATAAGAAGTACATTAGTAAGAAAATTTCTGAAACACAGTAATAAATGTCAGTAAACTAAAAAGTCAGAATGGAAAAATTATCTATTTTTTTTGCAAGAAATATATCGTTCGTTATAACAATACAGTTTAACAATACAGTTTCTATATCAAATGAACTAAAAAATCAACGATAGGAAATGAAATTGAGGAAAACTTATATGTTGCAGCAACATATGTGGATGTGGTATGTTGTTTTAGCTGAAGCATTTTTCTGTCTATTTTTTTGTTTAATTTTCGCTTCGCCGAATCTTCATCCGAAAGGTCTAAATAGATTTTATTTTAGCTTATTATTCATATTTTTCTTCTTCTTCTATCAATTCTCACCAATATTGATCAGGCTGGCTCCACTGGCCACAAGAGTATGACGTTTCCAAGTAATAGAAGTCACTCTTTTTTCTATCGTCTAAGTCCATATATTGCTGGTCCACCTATAAGTTCAAAATCTTTCCTGATCGTGTCAGTGCAAGTCTTGATTGGTTCACCTCGCTTTTGATGCCACCCATCGCATGGTTTAGCAAGTAAAAAATACGCGTCAACGCGTCAGTGCAAGTCTTGATTGTTGTGGATGATGCCCTAACCAGCGAACGAGACGCTGTGTAATGACCTTATTAATACAAGTGGTATTTGAGCGAAGATGGATAGTCTTGTATAATTTTATACGCTCAACGGATCCGTAAAATGTATCGTATCTTAGACATATGTGATCAAATGATAGCTTCTTAATATCCTCCACTGTCATTAGCCATGTCTCAGAACCATATAGCGGGATAGAACGAATCACGGCTATATATATGCGAACTTTCCTTTTAATAGTAATTTCACGATGGCTCCCTAAAGGTTTCGTCAAAGGAAGAACGCATTTCTAATTGCCGTGATCCGGGTGTAATATCGTCTTTTGCCTGGCCATTTGGTATTAGAGTGGACCTAAGATATTTAAAATCGGGCACTTCACTTCTATAACCGGCAATGAAATTATTAAAAGAGGCATTTTATCAGCTTCTTGCGCATAAGACGAAAAAGCTTTCGTTTTATTTACATTACCCTTCCTCCGATTCCGATTCTCGCTGCAGTTGCTGACATATTATTTAGCATTATTTGCGTTTCGTCATAACTATCAACAAAAAGTACTACATCACCAGCGTATTCAAGATGCGATGCTCCGGACTGATTTCTGAGTGCCAGCACCTCTTGAGTATCAATAAACAGTATCCATCACGCAATCTATCGCATAGTTGAATATTGAGGAGGAAAGGGCACAGCCTTTAATTATTCGCATTATTAAAAGAATGGTAGGAAAATTATGCGTGAAATTAATAAGGCGAAATGTTCGAGTGACATTTTACTTCGACTTCTCGATTTTTGCTCGATAAGTGGAGTGGCGGTCAGTAAAAATGTGCTGAAACGAATGGACCTTACTTATCCTAAAAATCATAGGACTAGTTAAGTCAAAAATCGTGCGAGATTTCTTTGTGCGAGTTTGGAATTACTTAATAAAGTTTGAGGGATTATGGAAAGTTCTGTTATATTATGAAGTTAGAAATAACCATTTCATCAGAATTATTCAACTGGCCACCGAAGATTCATTTGTTAGAAGCTGATTATGGTCACTATGCAATTATGGCATTTTTGAGTAATATTTTTTGCAAGATTCTGTTCAAATTTCCTTCAACAATTACATCTTTTATCAAAGAAATATATCATTTTTTAAGCTTTCAAATTTGAATATAATTCTATGATTAATAAATTCGTTTATAATTTTTTAAAGGTTACTTTTACAGCGAGTAGTGAACAAAATATGTTTGGTATTAACCGAAGAATGAAGCCTTTTTTGCCATTTTTGCTTGCATATGGTCTTTTCAGTCTAAATTATATTATAAATAAGTACTTCATCTTGAGAAGTGAGCATGAAAAGAATCGTGAAAATGTTTCAAGAAAAACTGAGGGTATAATTTTTTCTTTTCATTCTAAATTAATAAAAGCTTTGTATGTTTAACAATATCTTTGATAAAGTACTTGCTCAGACGCGATTCTCTTCGAGATATTTCATATTTATAACTGAAATTTGAGGTCATTTTGCTCTAGATAATGACCTCAGAATAATTTAAAATAATTTTTTGATTAGATATGGAATTCTGCGATGACAATTCAATACGAGAAGAAATCATAGGAGTTATTATGGATCCACCCGAGCTTAGTGAAATGGCGAAACTTTATCCGCATCTCAAACCAGGCGGTCATAACGTTCCGCAAACGTGCCTTCCTCTTCACAAAACTATTATTGTCGTCCCATACAGGTAATTTATTTTAATCTATTTTATAATCTATTTTATCTATTTTAATCTATTTTTATTCGAAGAAGATTTTTTAACAAAATAGTGATTAGTGATTTTTATCAAAATCATCAGAAATGAAAAAGTTACTCATTTTTTTGCGAATTGATTGAAAGGAGTGATTAATAAGGTTATTCGGTTTCACGTATTAGTTTTATCAAATTTCAAAATAGCATTTCTTTTTTCTCGATCAACTAAAGATAAAATGATTTGCAAAAAAGTAAGGAATCGGTCGACTCCTCAATCCTCATAAGTGTAATGAGTTTGATTCTCGTTTATATTTATTAGATTTTAAAACTGAGATGATTTATCGTTATCTGCAAAACTGTTGAGGAAAATTTTAATTTAATATCACATATTTGCTGTTGAATTAAATGTTGAAAGATCTTGGACGGTTTCTTAAAATTTTTATTGGAACAGAAATTAATTTGCCTGAGATTGATCTGTCCGCTATATATATTTCCACTTTTTACTTCAGGGATCGAGAATTTCAACTTCGGATATTCTTGTATCATATGCATTCATTTCTGATACGCCAAAATTTGGAATATGCGATAATCGTTGTTAATCAGACAAAAGACGAATTATTTAATCGAGCTAAATTACTCAATGTCGGATTTGTTGAAAGTGCTAAATTATATGACTGGAATTGCTTCATATTCACCGACGTTGATCGCATGCCGGAAAACACTCGCAACATTCACACTTGCGCAGACCAACCTATACATTTATCCGTTGATTCCAGATTAGGTTTGCTGGAACTTGGGTATAAATTTTTAAATTAATATTCATATATAATCATAATTAATCATGCACCTTTTTCTGTTAGGTCCACTTTTTTATAGCGAAAAGTGCAAGAGGAATTCGGCCATACATTCATGATCACTGAATTTGGTTTTTTGACCGTTGATTCAGCAATATCGCTGAGATCATTTCAATTTTTTTTAATTTTTTAATTTTTATTAAGTTTTTTTGAGGAATTATGCGAAGGAATTGATCTGTTTGTAAGGCAAAAATTCAAGATTCATAGTTTTGAAACCAAAGCTGCTTTTATAATATGAATTGGTTCTATTTGCCCAAATAGTTCATGTATTCGACTAAAAATTTTCATTTAAGCACAAGATTTTCTCCAAAAATAAGCAAACTTTAAACTGTCAACTCTAACTTTTTTCGTTTTTTTTTATACTTATATGCATATATGTATACAAGATTAATGAGCATAAATATAGCCTAATATTATTCTTCCAGACTGTTGTATTATACTTTTATGGGTGGTGCAGTGGCATTCTCTAAAACACAATTCCAGAAAATTAATGGATTTTCCAATAATTATTGGGCATGGGGTGGAGACGATGATGATTTAGCAGCAAGGTCTGAGGCCAAGTTTACTTGACTCGAAGTTCCACCTCCTTTTGTTCTTGAATTCACTTTTTTAATCAATTTTTTTCAAAGCAAGGCAGAATTTTTTAAATCAATTAGAATAATGCTAACCTAATCTTTTGACCAAAAGATTTTTAAAAAATCGAATGAAAGACTATTCGCAAAATAGCAAAACCGAATAATGCGATAAATGCTGAAAGCCATCAGTTGCTGAGTATTTAATGATCAGAATATCATAACACATATCTCAAGTTTTTTAGAGTTACAATAAATAACTATACTATCAGAAGACATCCGAGCAGAATAGCGAGATATCGAACATTGCCGAAAATGCAACAAAAAGGCTACCATTCCAACCCGTAATTTATTAAAAATTCAATAAGAATCTGGTTTGGAATTTTTATCTTTAAAAAGCATACTGCTTTTGCTTTCTTCATTCCCTACGCTGAATTTGTTTCGTAAATTTTAGTAAAATCCGGATATTGAAAAAATTTGGTGCAACTTGTGTTGGCCTATATAATATATATACCAAATATATATACCTAATGGTAGATGATTTGCATCATCACAATAATACACTTTCTTCTTTCTTCTTCTTCTTCATAATCGGGGGAGACTGGAATACGCGCGTATCATAATGCCGATGGGATGAATTCGGTTATAGGGGTCATCGGGATCCAGTGCACCAATGGAGAACGCCTTCTTCGTTTTGCCCTGAGCTCTTTGTTGCTAATACATGATGGTGGCATCGGAGAAGACATCTAGTTACGTGTCCAGATATTCCAATCAGATTGACTATATATTGGTTAGACGTTGCTGGAAGAATAATTCTGTATTTGATAGTTGTTCTTATCGAAGGGTTGAAACTGGTAAACTAGTCATGGATGAGACCATGTTATGCCAACTGTCTGAAAATGCTGTAAAAGCTCGAATGTTAAGAAGTCTTGATCCTACCGCAGAGCTTCGAAGAATTGTAATGACAGCAGCACTGTGAGACAGAAATCACTATTGGAGCTACATGGCCTTGAAATGGAGATGGCGACTCGATTAGGTGATAATAAGAAACTATTCCGTCTTCTTCATAAAGCAACAGTAATCCGGCGAAATGGAAGGGGATATCATCTGTTAAGAGCATTAAGGATCGCCTTTTAAGATGGAAAAAATTCTTTGAGGCAAATTTAACCATGATACGCCATTTTTGACCTTGATGTAGCGTTCATCGAACCATACGTTTGCAATTGCGAACCGCCAGCAGAAGAAAAAATAAACTTCGTTATCCATAATCTTAATCACAAGAAAGGTGGCAAGACATACTACGACAATAATGGAGAAACCATCCTAATATAAATTGCAAAAATTCGAAAATTTTTGCTCTCCTTTTACTCAATAGATTTATGACAGTACGAAACAGTAGAATGCGCCATAAGTCAGGCTGGATTCAGACCAGAGCGCGCTTATGCTAACCAGATATTCACGTTAAGAAGAATGTTGGATTATCGCCTCAAATATCTGGTAGGTTACGTGTTTCATCGACTTTGCTGTTATCTTCGATTCAATTGATAGAACGGCACTTGGGATGATGATGGAATGTGATGGCGTTTCAGAGAAGAACATTCGACTCATAAAGGCATTTTATCAGCGTACGTCGGGTATATGGTGAAGTGACACAATCTTTAGAACTGGTGTCAAGGGGCTTTTGCAATATTTAATTATGCAAAAATGATTAGATGATGGACATCACTTATCGGATTCAAGAGATATACAAATCAGTCCAGAGCGTCGAATCACAAATCGAATCTTAAATACGCTGATAATATCCTTTTTGCTGACAGTTATGATGAAATGCAAACAATGTGTTAAAAACTGCAGCGAAAATCGGGAATCAGAATCAAAGTAAATAAAACGAAAGCTTTTTCGTCCTATATACGAGAAACTGATAAAATATTATTATTGATAAAATATTATAATATTAGTTATTATAAAATACTTTATTGCCTCTAAATTTATTGATAAATTTATTGCCTCTGGAAGGATTTTAAATATCTTTGATCCACTCTAATATCGAATGGCCAGGCAAAAAAACGAAATTATAACCCAGAGAGCGGTAGCTAGAAATGCGTTCTTCCGGTTAACGAAATCTTTATGGAGCAATTGTGAAATCAGTATAAAAACGAAAGTCCGCATCTATATAGCCGCAATTCGTTCGATCTTACTATATGGCTGCGAGACATAGCCAATGAGAGCCATAGCCATAGTGGATATTTGTTATCTGCTTTAACCATGGCTAAGATATATTTTGCTGGTTTGCCAAGTGGATAAAATCTAACATCACCACATCCACCATTGTTCAAACCACTTACATTAACAGTACCATCTTAGAGCGTCGCCTTCGCGGGTTAGGGCACGTTCTTTGTCGCCGAACACAAGATATATATTTCATTACTTGCTAAACCATATGATGGGTACGTCAAAAGCGAGGTGGACCAATCAAGACCTGGATTGACACGATCAGGAAATTTTGAACGTATGTAGGTGGACCAGCAATATATGGATATAGACGATGGAAAAAAGAGTGGCTTCTATTATTGTTTTCGATGGCATTAGATAGCGCTGCTTGGAAACGTCTTACTCTTGTAGTCGGTGGAGCTAACCTAACCAGTAGTGGTGAGAGCTGTTAGATGAAGAAGAAGAATGGAAAGATAATAATATAATTGTTATGTGAAGAAAATAGGTATTATATAACCAGCATACTATTTATTGGCCATACTATTTATCATTTTTCAGCTGTAAAGAAATACTTCTTACATTGACGCTTGATACGTGGCGTGATGATGGTCTATCAACATTAGATTACGAAATCGACCGTGTAGAAAAAAATCAACTTTACGTAAATTTGGTTGTCCGATTAAAAGAAAAAGAAACTACGGCGATTTTAGAGAAAAAAGAGCAATATAAAATGTATAGAAAGTGCATCGAGTAAATTTATCTATTTTTTTAATACCTTCCAACCGACCGTTATTTAAATCATTTTTTCAGCATATCCATCTTTAATTAATAAGCGAATTTCATCAATCGCATCTAAGCCTTTATAATAATTTAATTTCAGGAGATGGAGAAAGAAAGGGCGAAGAAAGCAAAGGATACTTAAGAAATTTGGTTCCGCAAGGAATCTCAGTCAAATTCTCTCGAACCTCGAATCTATCAATTAACTTCAAGATTAACTTGACTCGTTATTTTCTTGCAAGAATTTTGTGTAATTTGATAGAGAAAAAAGAAATTTTTCGATAAATTCCGAAATAATATACAATTTTACCGAATTGAAAAAATGTTAATGAAATACACCTGGAAAAAGAAAGCTGCAAATTCGAAACACGAAGCTTTTTCAAGGCATAAGTTAATAAAGATGAACGAAGATTCAAGGACATAAGGTATTGATATTGTTTTTCGTAAATCTCATTAAATATGGAATCTGGTATGCTTTTATCACCAAGCGACTCTCTGGCAAACACATCATCCTAACAGCTAGTGCAGCTAACCAACACGGAAATAATCTGTAAAGTTTTGTTTAGAATGAAAGCGATCCGTTTATTTTGTAGAATTTCGTTGCAACTCGTATGATTGTGTTAAAATTAAAAAACTTAAAAAAAGTGTTCAAAATCGTAACTTTATTTGCTCATTAAGCTTGCTGCTTGCTGCTTATATACTAAATTCCAAAATTTCGTATGCTTTTTGGAATGGTATTCTTTCAAAAATGAGTAGGGATTTTTTGGTGCATTGTAAGAATGCACTTTTTGCACAGCAACGCTTGTTATATGTTATTTCAAGTTTGTCGTCCTAAAAGATAAAAATTTTTTTTGAATAAGAAAGTAGGAAAAAACTGCTTCCTTATTATTTGATGTGGTTCCATGCCGCACTAAATAGATTGCATTTACACGATTTTTCATTTTTTTATCATTCGTTTCATTTATCATTTTTCATCCGTTCTTTATTTTGTATTGCCATGTACCATTTTCCACCAATACACACCTCGTTCCACACCACCTTTTGCATCCTTTGAATTTGAATTACGTCCATCATAGAGAACATTTATAGACAATGAAATAAGGAAGGGAAATGATTGTAAATAAATGACTGTAAAGTGAATTCAACAGGATTTGAAATCGTCTGTGGCGAAATGTGATGGATGAGTTTGCAAACAATGCAGTGGTATAAGAAAATTTTCCATAGTAGAAGCAATTTACAGTGAAAAATTGTCATCAAAGGAAATTGTGGAAATCACCTCGTTACAAAACCTTTGTCCTTAAACAAATTTATATTCTTTATATTTTTATTCTTTTATTTGCTGTTTTCTTATTTTCTTCACTTAAAGGAAAAGTGATCCTTAAAGATATTTAAAAGAGGAAAATTTAATTTGTTAATTTCTATTTTGTGTGTTCGTTTGGATACCTTCGTTTCAAACTGGCTGTTTAAAATTAATAAAATTAATAATTAATAATTTAATTAATAATTTAAAATTAAAATTGTTAAAAATAAAAATTATTTAAAATTGTTCGATATTAATAATTCTTCAATCAAACAGAACTTATGATAAAAAGTAGGAGTGGTCTCAGATTATCGTAAGATAAGTATCCTCCGACACGAGTAAGCTTATTATTAAAAAATCCGGGTAGTGCCAGAAGACCAACTAATTAAGGGCCGAGACTCTCGAAACTAAGCCAAATTGGTTACATTTCCACTTTATTTGCACTTTACGTGTCTATTCTGCAATTAACGATTCACGATTTATTAACAGTGGATTTGTCCCCAATTCCATAATTTTAAATAAATTATTGATTATCCTCGCAAAAATAACTTTCCTTCAAAGTATAAAGTATTTTGAGGTGATTGGGAAATAAAGAAAGAAAGTAGAAGGTACTCAGAGAACCACATGTAGAATTCTGACATCAGTGGATGATTAACTGCAAAATTAAACTTCTTTTTGTCTTCTGTCATTTTGGCTTTTTATTGTTTTTCTACTGTTCTGATTATTCTTTCATTTTACTTTTACATTTTATTTATTGTGATATGTGAGTTTCTGTAGGTTCTACATAAATAAAAATTATATATCACCATATTTCGTTGCTTATTATTAAAAAATCACTTCTTGACTAACCTTTGTGTAAGCTATAAATCCTCCTTAAAAAAATCTTTAAAATATATCAAATATGCTTGAAACATTTAGTCATCAAAGAGAGCTTCACTGACCCAGTTTAATGAAGTAAATTCATACCGTTTAGCTCAGGTGAATAAATCAAAGTGACATGTATAGTGAGTTACTAAACGCTTGTGCACGATAGAAAATATTTAAATAAATAAGTGAATGGCTAACAAACTAATACGATGAAGTGATTTTGTCAGAGAGTGTTGGGGATATGAGTATATGTAAGCCTTCAGCATCACCTTTATTTCATTTTTAATGGTAGTTTCATCCCCACTAAGAGACGAAATAGAACATACGATGTTCGAGCTTGACCTCGGTCGAAATAATGCCTAATGATTGCTTAATAAAATAATAAAATAGTGACAATCTTCAAATTTCTAAATGATAATGTTTTGATAATGAAAGGAAAAGGGAGGAATTTGGCTTGAATTTCGATAAGAGTCGACGATTGGTCTTTAACATCTTTATCACTCCTTCCAATTTGATTATTATTTATAATAATTTTGTTATTTTGTTTTGTTATGTTGTTATTTCTTTCAAAATTTTTTAAAATTTTAAAATTTTTAAAAATCTTTTAAAATTCTTCCTTTCCTCCTCATCTCTTTTTCATTAAACTAACTGGTTTGTGACCTTTCATAATAATGAATAATAAGAAAGCAAAAATAAATAAAAACAGTAAAATAAATAAATAAAATTTTTTTCTTTTTTCTCCTTAAATTAGTTCTGATGGATAACAATATAATATAATTTGATGTAATATTTCAAATAATATATAATTTGTTTCCTTGGAAAAATCTGGGAAACTATGCTGAATTATCACCCAAATTATCGGCAATTTTAATTTTTCATAGCTCTGAAATTTTTCTAATAATAATTTAAAACCATCAGTTCTGAAACTGAAATCTCAACTAATACCAGACTTGTGACTTGCATAGCCTTGTAATAACAATACATTCTACTCAAATAAATTTATTATATTCAGCAATTCCAAGAATCATTGAGAATTCAAATTACATTTCCAAGAAATAAAGGATTTATATGGTTATAAAAATAGCCAAAATTATAGGAACCAAAAAAAAATCAAAATTTGACGAACAGTAAAGAAATCGCTTTCTAGCACATACGACAAAAATGGAAAGTCAGTGAAATGATCAAAAGATAGAGTAGGATGATCAAGTGATTATTGACTCGGATCATCGCGTTGATAGGCAAATACACGGATCCTGTCTCTAACAACAATGAGATTGCCGTTAAAAAAGGTCTAATTGGTCTGGTTGGTATCGGCGAAGCATGCTGCATCTCCAGTATCGAGTAACTCGTTACAAAAATTTCGACCCGTACTACCAACTAGCTGGAGTTATTTTATCCAGAAAGTCAAGTCTAGAAGTCAAAGAAAGGAAGTTCAGAAATACGATAGATGAATTGTGAAACTGCAAAAAAATCGTCAAAACCGTAAAAAAAACTTCTTTAAACTATAAATAACAACTCAAAAAAACTTTTATTTTTGGCTTCATTCTTTGTTTGCTTTTCATTCATAAAATTGATTTGATATTTGGTTAGCAAATAACTGAACATGAGATAGGGAACATTACTGCTAAGGCTGATTAGCTCTCCTTCCACTGGATGTTAGTATGCTGGGAAATATTTGCCAGGAGAACTACTTGATAAGGATAGAAATACAAGTGACTCGCCATTATTACCCGAAAAAATAACCATTTATTCCTGTAACTCCTTTCAATTGATATGAGGCAGTTTCGGTAAATTTATGAGGAAACCATAATCGCTACTTTATATGTCAGTTTTTTTTCCAAGTGCATGCATTAAGCATTAATCAAACGTATTTATTAGCTTTTATCTACTAAAAAACTGTTTTTTGATTTTCTGAATGAGAACGAACGATAATCGGAATGGACCAAATTTGATGACAGGTGTGCTAAGGTTGGTTGAATAAATAAAGCTTTAGCACTATAATATAATATAACAATTGGCTTTATTGGTTTCCCAAATTGCTTTTTATTTTCGTTTTTAATTCATTCATTAAGACCATAAAAAATTTGATAAAACGGCATTTGTATAAAATAAAATGCCTGAAGCTATATAGAAATTGCTATCTGATTAATATAATATCTATCCGCTACCCAATTTTTTTTCCTTACACCTCTCAAAATCTCAAATCTCGTCAAATCTCTTTTGCTTTACCTTAGATCTTATTATGCTTATTAAAATATTCACAAATCGCTTGTATTTGTTTTTATCTTCTGAAAACTTTTTTCTTCAAATAGCTTCTGCAGGTTCTAGAATAAAGCATTAATATACCAAATTTCGTTCACTACATTAATTTTTATTTATACCACTAATTTCCTTAAAATTTCGTGTTTTTTTTCGAACATGTATTACAGTATGGATTATCAGAAATATTCAGAATGTAGTACATTTTCTATATAGTATATAGATTCTCAGAAATTTATCAGAAAACTATAGATTAGCAGAACTTTGCTAGAACTTTGTTTTATTACTATACTGTAAAAGTGTTTGCTATTTCTCATTTTTTTATAAATATCTCTTTATTCTAACAACATTCATCATTCATGAGCAATATAGCTACGCCAACTAGGAAAGTGAAGTATTTAGTTGATCGTTTAATGCGAATTTCATCAAACTCTTTTATTTTTTTTAGCTGATCTGTCGTTAAAAGATCCGAATGGCGATAGGGATCTATCAGTAATTCTGTTCTCAACCGACTTCTTAGCAGAAATTTATCTCATCCTATTAAGAGCCAATGGAGAAAATTGAGAAGGAAATATGATTGTTGTTAATTCAATTTTTTCACATTTAATCGAAGTATGTGTCCCGCCACCAAATTTCCTCAATTCAAAAAAAAGGCTTTTTAAAAATTGAGTTGAGAGTTCCAGATAAAAGCGTTTAATACATGTAATGATCTCATTTATTAAAATCAAATGAATATTTTTTGTTGAACATGCAAATGAATATATTTCATTATACACTTTTTAGAATCATGCTCAATGGAAAACGAGGGCGGAAAATTTTAGGTGTTTTAGTATTAACCTCTTGCATTTCTTATTTTTTGTGCTACTTAATTTATGCTCATGGCTATCTCAATCATATTACCTCAAGCTGGTCGTATAAGCAACAAAAGGAGTGGAAAATTTTCCATTCTGCTGGGCATAAAACCATTGGTTTCTTTTTTATAATTTGAAGTAAATTAAAGTTTAATTTTTTCTGCTTTTCTGCTCATATCCATTTTAAAAAATTTTTGCAGTTCTTGTCTAAAATTTGCATAAGATTTTTAGGTTAGAATGATCTTAAATTTTTATAGGAAATGTTTTCCAAAATTATTCTTTGGCGACGATGAGACCGTGCGAAAACAGTTTAACAGTAGAAGAAGAAGTGAAAATTGCGATGAATCCACCTGAACTTAATGAAATGAAACAGATCTATCCCCATCTTAAACCAGGCGGCCACAACATACCACAAATGTGCCGACCTAGCCAAAAAACTCTTATTATTGTACCATACAGGTGATTTATGAATCTATATGATTCGGTTTACAGCTTCTCTTTCATTTAATTTCAATCACATAGTGATTAATTTTCACTACAAACTAATTCCACAGGAGTTGATGCATATTCATTACTTGCTAAACCCTGTGATGGTTGGTGGGCTTGTCAAGACTTGGACTGATATAGTCAGGAAAGATTTTGAACATATAGGGGGACCAGCGATATATGGAGGAAAAAAAGGAATGGCTTCTATTACTACTAGCGATGACGTCGGACCGAGCAGCTTAGAAACTTCTTAGCCTTGTAGCCAGTGGAGCCAGCCTAACCAGCAAACAGCTGTTAGAAGAAGAAGAAAAAAACTTTGCGATTAATTATTTCATATTAAAAACCACAGTTTTTTTTCTGCAACATTCACCATTTTTGATTCGGCTTGCTTCATTAGCTTGTCTGGCCACCCACTGAACCATTATCTGAAAAATTCATTTGTTGTGTAATTAATGAGCAGTCGTTTCGTCCAACTGCTCTACTAAGACATGGAAAATAATAATTATTATTAGATATTATTGATTGGCAATTATTGCTTGGGTATTTCAAACGATAATTTTTTCTAAGATTTTTTTATCTCTTTTATTTTTTGCCGCCTTATAAATAATATCATAAAATAATACCCATTAATAATAATAATTAATAATAATAATAATAATAATAATAAATGATAATAAATAATAAATAATAAATGATTGATAATAAATAATAAATGATAATAAATAACAAATGATAATAAATAATAAATGACAATAAATAATAAATGATAATAAATAATAAATGATAATAAATAATAAATGATAATAAATAATAAATGATAATGATAATGATAATAATAATAAATGAATGATAATAATAATAAATGAATGATAAATAGTAATAATAATAAATAATAACAAATAGTAATAAAATAATAACAATAAAAATAATAGTATGCTTGTCTTCGACGGAAATGAACCTGTCATATCAGAAATCTGAATGGTTGCTGGGAACCCATCTGTAACTCTATCTGTCAATATGGTGAAAAGATTAGATCTCATAGTGCCGCGGCGTTCGCGTCTTCCCGACACACATGACACTTCTAATTAGGTGGTACAATGCGATAAATATACAATCTGGGCATAACGATCCCGTAAATAAAAAGGTTCATAAATGAAATATAAGCCAGGACAACTGCAAAACTTGACAAAGGGAACGGCCCTGCACGCGACGAGGTGTTAACCGTATCAGCTTGGAACTCAGAATGCTTGTGGATGTTACAAGCCAAGCTATCCACACTTTAAATATCGTGTGGATATCGCCTGCTTGTCGGACATTCTTCATCCGTCATCGGTCGGGTCTCAAGTAATTACTAATCCTGACTCGGAGATACTGGTTATATCATTGTGGTGTTTCGGATTACTGGGGATGAAATGGCGTAGCGATTGTCATCTAAAAGGGGTCATTTCGCTTTGATTGAGTGGTAAGCGACCATATGGCCTATGCTTGTTTAAAGGTAATATTTAAAGGTAATATTCTGCAATATTTCAGTCATCGGTATCTATGCTCCAATACTTACTATCGGTATACTTTGTCGGAAGATGATAAAGATAAGTTCTATGCAGAACTTCAACCGCTAACAAAGTGTTTATCGAAACATGATCTGGGGGAGACTGGAATACGCGCGTATCATAATGCCGATGGGATGAATTCGGTTATAGGGGTCATCGGGATCCAGTGCACCAATGGAGAACGCCTTCTTCGTTTTGCCCTGAGCTCTTTGTTGCTAATACATGATGGTGGCATCGGAGAAGACATCTAGTTACGTGTCCAGATATTCCAATCAGATTGACTATATATTGGTTAGACGTTGCTGGAAGAATAATTCTGTATTTGATAGTTGTTCTTATCGAAGGGTTGAAACTGGTAAACTAGTCATGGATGAGACCATGTTATGCCAACTGTCTGAAAATGCTGTAAAAGCTCGAATGTTAAGAAGTCTTGATCCTACCGCAGAGCTTCGAAGAATTGTAATGACAGCAGCACTGTGAGACAGAAATCACTATTGGAGCTACATGGCCTTGAAATGGAGATGGCGACTCGATTAGGTGATAATAAGAAACTATTCCGTCTTCTTCATAAAGCAACAGTAACCCGGCGAAATGGAAGGGGATATCATCTGTTAAGAGCATTAAGGATCGCCTTTTAAGATGGAAAAAATTCTTTGAGGCAAATTTAACCATGATACGCCATTTTTGACCTTGATGTAGCGTTCATCGAACCATACGTTTGCAATTGCGAACCGCCAGCAGAAGAAAAAATAAACTTCGTTATCCATAATCTTAATCACAAGAAAGGTGGCAAGACATACTACGACAATAATGGAGAAACCATCCTAATATAAATTGCAAAAATTCGAAAATTTTTGCTCTCCTTTTACTCAATAGATTTATGACAGTACGAAACAGTAGAATGCGCCATAAGTCAGGCTGGATTCAGACCAGAGCGCGCTTATGCTAACCAGATATTCACGTTAAGAAGAATGTTGGATTATCGCCTCAAATATCTGGTAGGTTACGTGTTTCATCGACTTTGCTGTTATCTTCGATTCAATTGATAGAACGGCACTTGGGATGATGATGGAATGTGATGGCGTTTCAGAGAAGAACATTCGACTCATAAAGGCATTTTATCAGCGTACGTCGGGTATATGGTGAAGTGACACAATCTTTAGAACTGGTGTCAAGGGGCTTTTGCAATATTTAATTATGCAAAAATGATTAGATGATGGACATCACTTATCGGATTCAAGAGATATACAAATCAGTCCAGAGCGTCGAATCACAAATCGAATCTTAAATACGCTGATAATATCCTTTTTGCTGACAGTTATGATGAAATGCAAACAATGTGTTAAAAACTGCAGCGAAAATCGGGAATCAGAATCAAAGTAAATAAAACGAAAGCTTTTTCGTCCTATATACGAGAAACTGATAAAATATTATTATTGATAAAATATTATAATATTAGTTATTATAAAATACTTTATTGCCTCTAAATTTATTGATAAATTTATTGCCTCTGGAAGGATTTTAAATATCTTTGATCCACTCTAATATCGAATGGCCAGGCAAAAAAACGAAATTATAACCCAGAGAGCGGTAGCTAGAAATGCGTTCTTCCGGTTAACGAAATCTTTATGGAGCAATTGTGAAATCAGTATAAAAACGAAAGTCCGCATCTATATAGCCGCAATTCGTTCGATCTTACTATATGGCTGCGAGACATAGCCAATGAGAGCCATAGCCATAGTGGATATTTGTTATCTGCTTTAACCATGGCTAAGATATATTTTGCTGGTTTGCCAAGTGGATAAAATCTAACATCACCACATCCACCATTGTTCAAACCACTTACATTAACAGTACCATCTTAGAGCGTCGCCTTCGCGGGTTAGGGCACGTTCTTTGTCGCCGAACACAAGTATATTTCATTACTTGCTAAACCATATGATGGGTACGTCAAAAGCGAGGTGGACCAATCAAGACCTGGATTGACACGATCAGGAAATTTTGAACGCATGTAGATGGACCAGCAATATATGGATATAGATGATGGAAAAAAGAGTGGCTTCTATTTACCTAACCAATACTAAAAGAATAATTAGGAAATGAAAAAAATTCCAAAAAACCAATCGAAGACGAAAAGGGTAGATGTGCTGCAATATCCAAAGCCGTTTTCCAGATAATGAAATTTTAAAACTTTCGTCATTGTCCTACTTGTGAAGTTGCGAGAAAATGCACTGATAATATAACAGGAGTCCACTTGTAATATAATTAATATTTGTATTGAACATGGTTCAACGAATTCCAAATCCTTCTATATTAGATTATCATTTATTCATTTATTCCTTTTGATTGACCCATATTTATCAATACAAATACAAATTATAAATTAGTGCTTTAGATATGCCTATTTTCTTATAAAATTAAGTTTATAAAAGTTTATAAGCTAATTTATCAGGAATCGAGAATATCAACTTCGAATTTTTTTATATCATATGCATTCATTTCTGAAACGCCAAAATTTGGAATATGCGATAATCGTTGTCAATCAAACGAAAGGCGAAATATTTAATCGAGGGAAATTGTCTAACATTGGATACGTCGAAGGCGTTAAGTTATATGACTGGGATTGCTTTGTGTTCCATGATGTTGACCTATTACCTGAAAATAGTCGTAACATTTATACTTGTTCGGACAATCCTATACATTTAACTGCCGCTATAGACTTATCGAATTATAAGTATGAACTTTTTTTTTGTATTTTTGAGCAGCCTTTTCGTATTTTCGTAGTTCTTAATACAAGCCACATGATTATGGATGCGACACCTATCTTATATCTATTTTCTACATGCATAGGTGCGCCACTGAAGTTCTATTTCTCTTTTCTAGAATCGTTTCGATAAGACGATGTTCTTTACAAGAATATTACGACTTGTCTTGATTTAGCTTTATATAATTTGTACTATTTAGATTACCTTATTATACTATTATGGGTGGAGCAGTGGTATTTACTAAAGCACAGTTTTTGAAAATTAATGGATATTCCAATAACTATTGGTCATATGGAGGAGAAGATGATGATTTAACAGGAAGGTCTGATATATTTCATTAATTAATCCACTACTTCTTCCTTAATATGTCATGTTGAAGTCGTGAGAGATGTCTAAAAAGATTCAGCCTAATATAAACATTTCCACTTAATTATGCGATAATAATATGCGAGCGTTCAAACAACCTGTGGAAAATTTATAATTTATCGCAAAAGATTATTTATTTCGATCTGAAAATTATTTCGACAATATTTTGATAATGAAGATTTATCTAATCACGGCAATTTTGAGGGCTAAATTTAATCAAAATTCTCTTCAATTCAAATGTCCGTAAAACTAAATTTTTAAATTTTTAAAATAGGATTTAATTTGGTTTTAGAATTACATTGCATAATTATATTATCAAAAGATATCCTCTAACAATAGCAAAATACAAAATGCTTCCGAAAATGCACCAAAGCGGTCATTATCTTAACATGTAAATGGTTTATTTTAACAAAATTATTTTAAAATTTATTTATTCTGTCTATCAAGCTAAAATCCCGGCGATTTTCAGAATACTCCTCCATTTTCAAGTGGCTCTTTGCCTAAAGTGTTCCTTAGTCAATAGTCAACAAAATCAGCCAGCCAAAGTAAATATGATGAAATGGTGTTTAAAGACGTTGAAGAAGAATTAAACTAAATGGAATTGATTTAATTAATTAACAAAGTTCAGAAAAAGAGGGAGAAATTATAAAAATTTTGATACACCATTTTTCAGTTGTCGGTTCTATATTCTTCAAAAAACATTTGAAATGTGGCATGAAGACGGTCTATCAAATTTAGACTATGAAGTTGTACATAATGAGAAACTTCAACTTTATGTAAATTTAGTTGTCCGATTAAAAGAGAAAGAATCTATAGCAATCTTGGAAGGAAGGAAGGATTATGAAAAATATAAACGATGTGCCAAGTTAGTCAATTTTTTGAAAAAGCTTATACACCAAATAATTCCCACTTTCCGGCAAATATTTCTAAAGTAATTAATTATTTAATTATTTAAGTGAATTAATAAGTTTTGTGCCATCAAACGCGAAAAAAAAAATGAATTAAAGAATGAATCAAGGAAGACCATATTTTTATCAAAAATTAAAAAGCAATCAGTTATTAAATTAAAATAATTATTTAAGCAAATGGAGGTTAATGGAAAGAAGAATGTTGAGGAGACTCAAAAAGCAGAATTCGAGTTCTCAGCCACGAAAAAATTCGAAAATTGCTCGCAAATTTTATTATGTTAGTGTTAATTAATGATCATCCTTAATATGGGTCGCAATTTATTATACTTTTTTTGCCTGTAATTTTCGCCAAAACCATTTTACCATTTCTTCATTTACTGCATTTACCTTTCTGACTGGCCTGATTCCACTAAACGAAAGTATGAAAACGCCAGAGAAACAGAAGTACAGATAGTGCTCCCATATTAATATTTCCCACCAGCACTTGCTCAATAGTATATTTTTCTTTATCCATTGCCTTAAAAAAATGTTTAGAACAAGAAATAGGCCGTTTTATTCATGCATAGATTTTGTTGGAACAATTTATGTAGTAATAACAAATTTTGGCTAAGCGATGGGAATTGTGAGGCTGAATCTGACGAATCTAACGAGCGAGTATATTTGAATATAAGAGTCCTGACTTTGACGAATAAGTTTTCAGCCACAGCTCATCATTAAATTTTTAAATTTTCTCTCTAAAGCAAAAACTAAGGAAACACATCATCAAAAAAAATTCTTATCTTTATTTTATCATTGTTTTTCGGAATTTGGTTATCAATCATTCTGAAACTATAGTCTTTTTCACATAAATTCTTCGGAAAAATATAAATCAGATGGCAAAATTTGATAAAATTAAAAGTGTTTGATTGTAAGATTTAAATTGTCTTTTTGATATTCCTACTTAGTGTGCGTAAAACTCTGCGATAAAGCGGCTGTATTGGTTTTACCCGAGCCGTCGCGCGGTAAATTCCAGTCACTTAACGCAGATGAAAATGAAATTCGGTGTCTTGGACATATTATTTTTATCCCCAAGTGACATTCTGGCGAATATTTTTCCTCATCCTAGCCATTAATCCAGCCGAACTTGAAATGGCCGTTAGAAATCGAAATGAAATAAACAAAGAGCTTTCGAATTTCAACGAAAATTCCTACGAGTTCAAGGTAAAAATCTTAGAATGTTTCGACTTTTTCACCGTTATTAAAAGAATTTGAAATTGTCATTCTAATGAAAACATTTCTTTAATCCTCATTTTACTTTTCACAAACCAATTTAGAAGAAATCTGCTTTGCAGTTGGGCAATATAGGAAGTCGGGGTGATTTTTTCTATTCCGAGTGCACCTTTTGAGCACCATTTTTCCTTTTTGTTGGCACCAAGTGCAATAAAAAATTTGTAATTCAAGTAATTAAATAAATGTATATTTTTAATCATTTACTCATTTCATGTAAAGAAGAAAAGGAAAGGCTTACAATAAATGAATAGATAAACAGTTTCTATTCCTGAAATTAAATATTTCGATAAATAAATGTTTGGTACTCATAATTTCTAATTAGGTTTGCATTATTAGCTTTTAGTAATTTGGGAAAATTTCGTTCGAGATTCGTTTGAAGAGAAACGTTTAGGAAGGCCAACAGTCTCTCGGATTTTTAAGCTTTGCTTTTACTTTTACTTTTACAAGGCATGGTGCTGGTATTGATAAACGAATCGATCACTCGTTCAAGCATTTTGAAGTTTTACCTTTCTTTTCTTTAAATAAATATCGAAATTATTAATAATTATTCGTTAGCTGGTTGAAAATAATTATCGAAAGTGGAGAAAAAAAATCAAAAGCAAAAAAAGAAACGAAAATTTTTATAAAATCGCCAGGAAAATAGTTCAAACAAGGGCAAAAAGAAGTCAAAAGTTTTATGGCATCCCAGTGGTAATTCCAGTGATACTGGTTGGTACTGGTGCCCCGTTTGCACCTTTCGCCGGGTCTCTTTTGACAAAAACTTAGTAGCCGGTCGAGCACAACCAAAAATGGTGAGCACTAACTACTGACTTACTTGTTTCCTTATATTTAATAGATAATTTTATAATCTTTATTTTTTCTGATCAACTTTGTTGACTTCTTTCTGATTTTGTTTTCTGCCGATTGATACGACTATGTTGATAACGAATTTTTGAAGGCTTTTCATAAAACATTTTTTTCAAAAGAATTTCCCTTTTGTTTAAGTTTAAATAAAAAATAAAAATTTGTATAGCAGAAATAAAAAACGAGATAAAATAAATTTCATTGCATATCATTTAATTTGAAATTAATTGGTATAAAATGGTGCTACATCACAAACCATTTCTATTTTGGCTGCCTTCGTTCGCTGTTAGGATGGTACCACAGAGACTATCTGACGATAGAAGTGCACTGGATTCTCATTATTAACCCAACACTAAAGGATTTTAAGCCATCGATACTTCCGCTCCAGAAAAAAGAATTGGCGATTTTATCTTAAAGGAACACACAACTTGGGTTCGTTCTTCCTCGCTGATTGTCTTTTAAATTTATAATTCGGCGATTTTCGCTGAAAAATGTGAATCTTTATTTTATTTCAGTCTAACGAAGATTCCCACAAAACGCCGATTTGATGCGAAGAATTTCCACATCTTTCATTTTACCAATTCAAAAAATCTAATCAACTAGTTAAAATTGTTTTCTTAGTTTATTTATTCATCAAATGTGTGTGTCAGGAGCAGACCTTTTCATCATAGAGTCACTTGAGAATAGGGCTACAGATGGATCCCGAGCAGGCACTCGGGTTTTTGATATCAGGTATACTCCTGTCAAAGGTAGAGGTAAAACCAGGGAAGGAAAATAAAATAGAAGAAATTATCTTAAAAACAAGTTATCTTAAAAAAAATTAGAGTTCTTTTTATTTTCATGTTGTATTGCTTTTGTTTTATTATTTATTCATCAAATTCATCGATTGCCTTTTGGCTTTATAATTCCAATGGTACAAAGCTTTTCGAAAATACTTTCATTTTAACAGTCTTCGATTTATTAAGCCATGTTGAAATTCTCGATGATCATCAATTTTAGATGAGGAAATTAAGTTATTCGATAAATCAATAGATCACTATCAATCAATAAATCAATAAATCGGTAGAATAGGTTTAAATCGGTAGAATAGGTTTAAATCGGTAGAATATTTAGACTTAGCGAATGAATCAGCCAAAATTCGAAACTGTCCTGTTAAAATTACCAATCCTATGGTCAATTATCAATTCCATTAATGCCTTTATTAGTTCATTATCACTGATCATGACGGTAGCTGCCAATATTAAAACGATTGCCAAATAATTTACTAATTCAGACCATGAAAATAGGTCAAGTCATTGTCTTTGCAAGGCGTTTAATTCGAATGTTTAATTAAAATCGATCAAATTCTCATATGCAATGTGTGGCCCACCTCCAAAAGATCCATACCTGAAAAAGTGGCAGACTGAAAGAGATAGTATGCTAATGGACAGCTTTAAGAAATAAAAGGTTATAAGTCTATACTAATATCCCTTTCTTCATATCGGTCAATTGGTCATATCGGTCAATTTTTTGCATGGACACGCTTCATAGAGCTTCATGGACCTGTTGCCGTTGAAAGGATGTAATCCTCCGTATTACATTTAACACACCTGTTCGACAGCTTAAGTCAGAGATCCCCAATCACCTTTCTTGCTCTGTAAGAAATATTTTTTCACGTCGACCTCTTTAGAATTTTTATCATGTAAAATAAGTAAAAGTAAATAAGCTAATTTTTTCGCAAGTTAATTCACAGGACTTTCATTCACAAAAAAATTTACATACAAAAAAAAAAATTACTGGGTGCTCACCTGGTTGGAACTAGTGAATTATTTCACCGTTCGTCTGGCGCAATGATTATTGCAAACATTGCAACGAAAAATAATTATTGAAAAAAACAACTGTTTAAGCAAAACTGCAGAAAACATAAATTAAGGTGACATATTAATTAAGGTGACACAACGGAACCGCACTGCATGTGAATCCACACTATTTTTCACCAGCAAAGAAAGTACGAGTATTTAATTTCTGTTCATCGATCGTAGAGGGCTTGCACCGCCACCTGGCTGAAGTTTTTGGTTTAGGCACCACACCCGAAAACATCTCTCGAACGACCTCGCAACTTAGGGCTTCACGATAACGAAAAGCTCGCGCTAACGTCCTAAGGTCCGAATCCGCCAAAGTCTGCAAATTAGAAAATGCTGTTTTATTTATTCGTCGCTATGGTTTACTATATTTTTATTGTTTGCTGCGACTTTTTTCTTTAATGTTTGCTTTATTTTGTAACCAATTTTTGGTAAAATTGCGTTCAGTTTTTGGAAAATTTCTTTGCAATTATTTTGATATAAAAATTTTTTAAAATTTCGCAAAATTTGTTAATATTAAAAAGAATTTTTATTTTTTAATTAATTAAATGAAAAATAAAAGAAAGAAAAAATTGATTTATGCAATAAATGCGCTTATAAAGAATCTCTAAAAATTATCGTTCCGCATAATTTTTGTTTTTCGGCGGTTCTGTGCGATTCAAAAATGAATTTTAATAGTAAAATAAAATGCAAAAAAGTGAAGTTATGGTAAATACATAACGTAATTACAACGTAGTGGCAAATCTCTCACCATTACTGGTTAGGCTGACTTCGCCGGCTGCAATTGCAAGACGTCTCCAAGCTGCTCGGTGCGACGCCATCGCTAGTAGTAAATAGAAACCATTCCTTTTTTCCATCGTTTAAGTTGCTGGTATATTGCTGGTCCACCTATACGTTCGAAATCTTTCTTGACTGTATCAGTCCAGGTCTTGATTGGCCCACCTCGCTTTCGATGCCAACCACAGAGCAAGTAACGGAATATGCGTCAACTCTTGCTGTGGATGACGGAAAACGTG